CGGACTGCCACATCCTCCAAGATCCCGCGCAACGCCCACGGAAGCGAGTAGGGGTTCCACCTTTGTGGCTCGAATGTTTCGAAAATGGGCGCTGGAGGCGCGCTTTCGCCCACTAGTAATGTTGGAGGGCGCAACGGTGATGTAGTTTCTGTCGAGCGCAGATGCAGTAAGTTTAATGTGAGTAACAGCCAAAAGGCAGGAGAAGCAACTTGTTAATCGCTCACCTAAAAGATAACGAGCAGCAAAATCGTAGGTCAAAGGCTCTTCATAGCACTTGCTATGGCCTTCCCCAGCGTAGAGTGAGCCCGCTACTGAAGCAGACAGGAGAGAGAGGAGCCCGTGATCAGGCAAGCCCGCGTTCCGCACGCCAACGCAGAAAGCCAAGAGGTTCGTCAACTGTGGCCAGGGCGATTGAGAGAGCGTGCGGTCAGAAAGTGACATGCGCAGATGATCGTGAGAGCGAGAAGACTTACAAAGTCGACGCGAGGAAACGCTCGGCTATCCACGTACAGAGCGCGCACGATGCTAGGATGACTTGTGGAGGAGTTGAGTGCAGAGTACAACGGCACGACTTGGTCATCCACTGAGGCGACATAAGCCACCTTGACGCCCTTGTCCAAAACAATTCGCTGAGCCGAAGAGTATTGGCGCGAGCAGGTGCTGCTGCTGGACTGATACTCGAACAGCTCCTTGGCAGCCGGCGTTTCGAACGCGTTCAAGTAGTAGTTGCTGACGCCTGAGCGCAAGCTGTTGAAGGGACCATGGTTGATGCCGGCAATGGCGAGCAGCGCAGTCCTTGTGCGGCTAGGCTGAACGGTTCCCTGCTCAAGCAGGCGCGCCAGAAGATGCGTCGCGACCACGCAGCCTTGACTGTGCGCAGCGATGAACAGCACATCGGCGTCCTTCACTGCTTGCACCCACTGCTGCTGTGCGAGGAGCGCGGCATACAGCTTGTCGATTCTATCAGCCACCTTTCCGTCGCCTTGAAGCGGAATGACCGTCAAATGCCCATGCTCTGTGCTGGGTGGCTCTAAGCCTGCCCCCTCATAGTGCCGCTTGACGGAGTCGGCCATCATCGTAGCTAGCTTGGTACTGGTGCCAGTAGGCTCGCCGAACCACTTCGCAAGCGGTCCTACCGAGAACCAACCATGAATTCCAATCACGACCACTTTGTCCGCTTCTCTGCACCCTCGTGACTTCGCTCGCTCCTTGAGGCCCATGACTGCCCATGTCCGAGGTAGCCTGTTTTCAGACTCTGCAGCTTCTCGTCGAGCAACTGCAGCAGGTCCAGCTTCCATGATCGACGAGCTCCGTCG